GAGGGGAAGACCCTCTATGAGATGGATTGATTCGGTGACTGGGGTAATCGGGATGGGTGTGTCAGAGGCGGTGAGGTTGGCATAGGATAGGGCAGGGTGTAGGGCTGTTATGCATAGGGTCGCTATGCGTCACAAATGACTCGACGGCACATAACAACAACAACAGAACCAAAGAGGAGGAAATAGAAGATTTCTACCAAGTTTTACAATTGGTAGAAATCTAACATGCAACCAAGAATCATTAGTAATAATTGATGACTGGGATGTAAAAGTTGAAAACAAAGAAAAGGGATCAATAGTTGGAAAATATCCATATCAGGGTTATAGTTTGGGGGTTCATCCAGCCTCCATGGCTTGAAAAAAAAAAATCTAGGTTCCATGAGCATTTGAATTTTCCCCATTTTGATCAGGATTCTTCAACCAAAGAAAAAGACATGCTTATCTGATCATTTGATCAAAAAGAAATATCAGAAAGATAAGCTAGAAACTTCTGAAATTAGATACCTATAGAGGTTGGTGATATTGTTGTATACCGTTGAGTTGGAATAGACCCATAGCTGTACAGACTGTATGACTCTGTGGTACATAACAACAGCAGTCGGAAAATGTGGACTTGGTAATTGAAATGAGGATGGAGATAGAATGACAGAATTTCATACAATCACAATCAATGATTTATTCATTGCAAATACCTTTTATTAAAAAAATACAAATGGTGACTTTACAGATGGACCTTAGCTGATAGACTATACAGGAATAAGACAGATCACATCAGGAAAAATCATTGGAGAAGTTCAATATCAGCTGTGAAAACTAGGCCAGGGGCTGACTGTGGAACAGACCATCAATTACTCAACTGTAAATTCCATTTTTTCTTCTTTTTTTAAAAAAGAGCTCTGGTGGCCTAGTAACAAGAAGCTGCACTTCAAGCCTGAAGGTATACTTATGAGGCCACCAGCTATTCCATGGAAGAAGGATAGGCAATCTCTTCCATTGCAATTAACTGCCTCTAAAAACCCACCAGAAGGCCAGGTATGGGTCGGTTCTGATGCTGCAGTACACAACAACAAGTTCAAATTGAGGCTGGAAAAAATGAAAGCAATTTCCCAAGAACCAAAATATGATCTTGAGACTACCCCACCTGGTTTTAAAAACCATATCAAGAACAGGTTTGAGGCCTTGAACACAGATGAATAAAGACCATATGAGCTGTGGGAGGATATCAAGAATATCATCAATGAAGAATGAAAAAGGTCATTACAATGACAAAGAAAGGAGAAAAGACCAAGACGGATATCAGAAAAGGCTCTGAATATTGCATATTCATATGCCGAGGAGCTGAATCAGAGAGAAGAAATCATGAAGGTAAGCAGCTGAACAGTAAATTTTGAAGGGCAGCTTGAGAAAACAAAATATTATGATGAAATGTGAAAATCAAAAGGGATGAACTCACTTAGCATTTCTCAAGCTGAAGGAACTGAAGAGCAAATTCAAGCCTTGAGTTACAGTACTTAAAGATGCTATGGGCAAAATATTTAATAACGCAGGAAGCATCAAAAGAAGATGAAAGGAGTATCCAGAATCACTGTACCAAAAAAATTATCTGGCACAGATAAATTTTCAGGAAACAACATATGTTCAAGAGACAATGGTGATGAAGGAGGGAGTTCAAGCCACTCCAACAGAATTGTCAAGAAACAAGGCCCCCAAACTTGATGGAATACCAATCAATATATTTCAACAAACACAGGCAGCCGTGGATGTACTAGGGTGGTGCTGAGAAATCAAGTAGCTACCCAGTCAATGACTGGAAGAGATCCGTATTTATTTCCATTCCCCCAAAGAGTATGATCCAATAAAATGTGGAAATTATTGAACAATACCACAAATATCACATGCAAGCAAAATACTACTGATGACTATAAAAAAAAATAACCAGAGAGAACTTTCAGAAATACAAGCTGGTTTTAGAAGAGGCTGTGGCACTAGGGATACCATTGTCAACGTCAGGTGGAACTTCGTTGAAATTGAAGAGTATCAGAAGGATGTCTATTTGTGTTTTATTGACTAGACAAAGGCATTTGACTGTGTGGATCACAACAAGTTATGGTTAACCTTGAGAAGAGTGGGAATCCCAGGACCCTTGATCATGGGAAATTTATACTTAGGCTATAAAGCAGTCATAAGAGCAAGGAAACACTACATGGTTCAAAAAAAGAAAGGAGTACATCAAGGATGTGTTCTTTATACCTTTTCAATCTATTTGCAGAAGAGATCATTGAGGAGGCTGGACAATATGAGGAGGAATGTGGCATCAGGGTTGGAGGAAGACTTATTACCAGCCTGCACTGTGTAAATGCCACAGTCATACTTGCTGAAACTGAGGAGGACCTAAAGCGTTTGCTGCAGAACATCAAGGACTGAAGTCTTCAATTTGGATTGAAGCTCAACATCAAGAAAACAAGGATTCTCATCACTGGGCCAATTGGCATTATCATGACGGATTAGTTTGAGATTGTTAACAATTTCATTCTGCTTGGATTCACAATCAACACTCTTGGCATCAGCAGCCAAGAAATCAAAAGATGAGTTGCATTAGGAAAGTCTGATGTCAAGGACCTCTCCAGAATGCTGAAGAGCAATGATGTCAGTCTAGAGAATAAGGTATGCCTAATTCAGGCCATAGTCTTTTCAATTACTTACTATGTATGTGAGAGCTGGGCCAAGATTAAGGATGACAGAAGAATTGATGCCTTTGAATTGTGGTACTGGAGAAGAACACACCATGGACTGCCAAGAGAACAAACAGTTCTGTCCTAAAGAGGGTGAAACTAGGTTGCTCATTGGAGGTAAGGATTTTGAAACTCTACCTCACATACTTGGGGCATTTTACTAGTTCTTGAAGAAGGACATCATGCTTAGAAGGGCGGAGGGTGAAAGCAGGAGGAGACCCTGGATGAGATGGAGTGACACAATGACTATGATAATGGGGGCATGTGTGTGAGACTGAGCTTGGATCAGGACAGGATGGAATTCAGAGGTATTGTTCATAGATAGGGTCACTATATGTTGTAGTTGACTACTCAGTGGCACATAACAACAGGGGTGTGTGGAAATGGAATAGAAAAGAGTGGTATTAGAAATGATAGAGAAATACTTTTCTGAGCATATCTTACTAAACCTAGAGTTTGGAACTCTATTAGTATTTAACATATTTTAAAAAATCAAAGAAGATGAAGACAAATCAAAATGTTATGGAAAATGAGACTAATTAGTCTAATTACATTTCAAATTAATAACATAACTAACCTCAGTAATTTTTAACACATCAATTCTGTGTTCATACTACCAGCTTAAAAACAAAGCAAAAAGTGTAAATGAGTACATTTCCTTTTCACTATACAATGAGTTAGTAATTCTAAACCTACTTCCTGTGTAGTCTAGGGTTAAGAATAGATAAATATATTGTAAATTTTGTGTTGGGAGCTAGATGTATCACTATTGAAGAGTGGAAGGGAGGAAGGATAAATTGAATTCTGTGGTGTTGGGTTGGAACTAGAAATGCTGGTATGACTTACCAATTTAGTTATAAATAAAGAGAGGAATGTATTTGAGATAAAGCAAAATGTAAAAACTCACATTCAGTTGATACTGATTCTTAGCAACTCTACATAAGCACAGAGCAGAACCGCCACATAGGGGTTTGAAGTCTGTAACTCTACACAATCTGAGTACAATGTCTTTATTCCAATGAAGCTGGTGGGTTTGAACCATCAATTTGAACTGGTGAATTCAGTTGTGAGCATTTTGGTGAATGATTGATCATTTTAACCACTGTATAATCAGAGTTCCTTTGAAAGGGAATATAAGTAATAAGAGCGTATACACTCCAACAGCAATAAACATACTAAGCATTACAATTTTGGTTTCTAAACATCAACTAAAAATAATCAGAACAACTTGAAGAAATGGAAAGTTCCATGGCTGGGCCCATGAAAGTAGAAGGTGAGCTGGGGGTATTTGCTTTGCAAGAAAAAAAGAAAGTGTTCAAAGAATAGTGGAAATGATAGAGAAGATATTTTAAGGGCCTTGAGGCTGTACACTGGGTACATCAGGGACAATTAAACCTTAAAGTAAATAGTAATAATAATAATAATAATAATAATAATAATA